AGAACGGGAGAAACGAACGCGACCACAACCTCTTGTTAAAGTAAGAGCAAATTGGTTTTCATGAGTTGAAGACGAAACATTAATTCTTAATTATTTTGATATGCTTCTCTCGGGAAGATTAACTTCTTCACTATGAAGGAGAGAATCCAAGTAGTCGAGGTTGATGGGTATGATCTTTGTTCTAATTGTTGTTTTGAAAGCTTGGTAATTTGCTAGAAGACCATTAAGTATATATAGAATAATGTCTTATGTGTCTATCAAACATCCAACCAAGGTGATGTTTGTCAACAAGATGCTTGACAATAGTGAGAAATTCATCCTTAGATTGGTTTTTTCATAGTGATTGAGTACAACTCTTTTTTAAGTTGGATGATTCTGAAACAATTCAAGGACTGAAGCCAACGCTGGAGGAGCGTAGACCAGATGGAAGAGCAAGTATCTAGGTTTAATATGTGGGGTAAAATAGAGAAGAGTGACACAACGATATTATAATCTATAAGCACCTAATGATTGTATTGAGAGTTGGGAGATGCTTGGCCTATTTCTGAAATAATGTGTTTGGATGGACAAACAATGGTTCCATCAAGGTAGCCGGAGAAACCATTTGTAGTAAACAGTTTGTGAATCTGATATCGTCATGTTGGGTAGTTGACTGCTACGAGTTGGATGTGGACAACACTTTTGATGTTTACATCAAGAAATTTAATAATGGGAGGAATAAAAACACCATTTATGTTGTAATAGGTGCTGGTGTTGCCGGTGTGTTGGTTGAGGAGTTCGTCGACTCCGCCATGGAAACAGGAAATGGTTGTTAAGCTTGAAAGCTCTAATACCATGAAGAAAGAGTCAAACCATAAATAAGTTGGAATCACAACTCTAGAACAAATGGGAGAACATTGGTGAGTTTGCATGGGAGTATAACTACAGAAATTTAGAGCAGAGGAGGAAGAAGGAAAACAAAAAAAGAGCATAAATTGAACTTATATTCATGTTTTAATAACTGGAACAGTACCACTATGTATACACTAAGCAAAACTATAAAGTGATTACAAAACTGCCCTTGCTTAGCAGTTGAAGTAGACTTAGCAGAGGAAGTAGAAGGTGGAGGCTGCAAAGCATCAGATAGCAACAGAGATAATTATGCTGATAAGTGGAAGGTAGTGTTGAGGTTTTGAGGACAGCTTTATCACAAATCTGAACTGTTATGTGCAGCTTTATCACACTATCATTAGAGATAGTGTTGACATGTCCTTTTTGGCCCAACAATTTTCTTACATAAGGGTTGTTTGGTTCGCTAAAAAAGAAATGCAGTATAAAAAGAATTCAGTAAAAGAAATCTTTTAGAGTTATTTTGATGAGTATAAAGTAAATTCACGTGAATGATTTTTTTTTTGTTTGATTTGAAGTAAAATGAATGTAATGTAAAGTTTAAAGATGATAGTGACGAGCTAGTAGAGTTGGTGGTGGCCGGCAGTGGTGGCCGGCTGTAAGTGGTGGCGACAAAGGGTGGTGTCCTGTAATTGGTGGTGGCTGGGAGCAGTTGGTGACTGTGGTGGTGGTAGCCGATGGTTGGCAATGATGGCTTGTGGACAAGTGGAGGCGGCGGCGACAGCCTGTGACAATGGCACTGGCCTGGGGAAGGTGGCGGTGGCGGTGGCGGTGACGGTCGAGCAAGCTTGCTTGCGGTGTAAATCTTTCTTACTCAAAACTGGGTGAAGTTTGATTTACCTCAAATATGAACTTTAATGATTTACACTAAATTTATATATATTTTTTACTTTGCATTCATTTTTCATCCATTAAAATAAAAATTTTTTCAAAACCCTTACATTTAAAATATTTTACCATTAAAATAAAAAATTTTCAAAACCCTTACATTTAAAATATTTTACACCCTTTATGTAATTCAACCAATCAGCACCATAATGAAATGGAACCTTTCAAAAATCCCATAAAAAATTGAACCTTAATTGCATCAATGAAAGATAAAGTTCAGAAGCATTATGGAATCAAAAGAAGCCTTCAAGAGACTTTTATCCCCATGATGATATAATTAGTAAAGATTATGACCGAATGGGTTATCAAAATATTAGTACATACATATAATTTAATTAACAAAATATTCATATTTGTACATCCAAATATTTAGAAAATTTTGTTTAAGGCAAGGCAATTCTGTTCAAGATAAATCAAGTTTATTCTAAGCCAAATTAACTAGATCTACTCACTTTCATACTCGTTGGCTTATCAAAGAACTCATCGTAAGCAAACAAATATGATAAAGAAACTCGTTCCAGTGCACTAATAAGGCCTAACAATAAGCCCTAGCAGACGACTATTTTCTATGAAATCGGCCCTATCGATTACTCAATGCAGGATGATTTCTCAAGACAAAAATTTCAAAATTTATCACTCTAAAATTCTTCCCTCTCTACTTTCTTTTTTTCTTTCACTTAATATTTTCACAATTACTCTTTCTTCCTAAAGTCAATAGACTTCTTCCCTAAGTAAATTAATGGAATATCTTGCAAGAATGCAATATGAAAAACAAATGCGGACAAGTTTAAAGATGATAGATCTGTAACTTTTTTTCCTTACTTTCTGGATAATCTTTATGTAATTATATTTCAAGCTCCATGCTTTGCTTAATTACTTTATGGATAGATAACTGGTGGATTCCATGCATAAAGCTAACAGTCCAATGCTTCTTTTAAGATCATTAGCTCCATGCTTTTGCTTAAAGACTGCTTTTCAACGACTAGTAAAACATCGCAATTGCAACGCCAACTTGTTAAAATTATACTTATACAAATTAGAAATTTTATAATATGTATAGTAGGGGTGCAACCATGTAAAGTCGGCTAGCAAGCTGATTCGAGCTCGACTCGGTAACAGGTTCGACGAGTTGAGCTCGAACACGGTTTCGAGCTCGACACCTTATCGAGCTTGAGTTCGAACAACCCATTGCTCGACTCGCGAGCTCGTCGAGCTGCTCGCATATGAAATCAGCGGCGGGAAATGCAATCGTGGGCGGGAAAATGAATTCGCATGTGGGAAAAGTTGACGACGAGGCTAGTGGGACGGAAGCTTGATGATGGAATCTCGACAGCGCAAGTTAGCGGACGCGGACGGAAGCTCGCGGGCGGACACGGAAGGAAGCTCGACGGACGCTCGACGATGCGGACGAAAGCTCGATGACGGAAGCTTGACACATGATGGGGGCGCTGGCCTTGGCAACAGACGGTGAACGCTGGCACTGATGACGAACGGCGAACGCTGGAGCTGGCGACGGGCGACAGATGCTAGCCCTGGCGACGTATAGCGGACGTTGGCACTGACAGACGGATTGAGTTTGAAATGCCACTCGAGCAGCTCGACGAGCCTTTTTTTTCTATGTTGATTCGAACTCGAACTCAGTATTTGACAGACGAGCTCAACTCGAACACCCTCTGATTTAAACTCGACTAGACTAGTTTGCACCCCGAATGTATAGTATATTTTTGCTGCTTATAAGCTCTCATACTGTCAATTATATAAGCAACAAAAAAGAAATAAAATAGTATAATATTTGACTATTATGAATGTATGGACTAATTGGCATAGACATGCATATACTGTCATATATGATACTAAACGATCGCCAGCTATAGCTATAGAGCTAAGAGCTGATCATCTTCGATCACCAGTGTGGACTAGTTTTGGGCGGTCGCCATTAGCGGTGGCGACCAAGGGTGAATCTAGCCTAGTCGAGGGTGAGAAGGGAAACTAGGGAGGGATTTAGAAATTAAGAAGAAATAAAGGAAGCAAGATAACAACAAATGAGGTGATATTACATGTAATCGATGAACAAGTGCTTGTCATGAGGACGCCACAAGCTTGGCCAAAATCCCCTTAGGAGCCAAAAGCAAGAAATAAGAAATTAAGGCGCATAGAGGTTAGGATTTGGTGTATAATGAGTCAAGTCAAGCTCAAATCAAGAATAACTTGAGCTTGAACTCAGTTCGCTAGAAACAAATGGGCTCAAGCTCAACTCGCGAATTCTAGGCAAAGCCATGATAGAAACTAGTTTGATTAGCATTTAGCTTTGAGAAGAAATTGCCTTCCTCTTTGTTGCCACCGTGTTCTTCGACCTCCTTATTGTCGTTGGTTTCTTCTTCCTTGCCACCATCGACATTCATGAAGGCTGGTCATAAAATCAAATTTGAATTATATGCACAATCATTAATTGAACAAATTTATTGGACTTGAACTATGATATGCATACAAGAGTATCACACTAGTTAAACATTCATATGAGTGAAATCAAATTTTGTAATAGACACAACAGACATGACAAAATGTTGGGGTGTCAATTTCGACTTATGGGTCGGGTTCGGCCTAAGGACACGACAAAGCTGGAAACGGCGGGCCAACAACCGGTGCAGTGGAATCTGGAAGTGTTGTCACTCGGGACAGAGGGGATGGCGGGACGCGACGCGGCAACAACAGGCAGGCAGGTCAGTGCGACTGGCATAACGACGCGGTTCACGTGGATTAGCTTCGCCGCCTCGAGACGCGACGCAAGACCCGGGCTTGGCCTCGAGACACTACGCAGGCAGCTCTAGTTAGGATTGGTCAGTGCGGGCAGTGTGGGTTCCGGGTCATTCCTGGGTTTTCGAGTAAACCTGAACCCGATCTGATTCAAGTTCAATTCAACCCAAACCTGAAATTTTCAGATCGGGTTCAAGTCCTGGTCGAATTTTCAGATCATGTCAAATATTGACACAATGACACCCTTAACAAAATGCATTAGTTCATGAAGTAGGTGGATATTCCATTACATAAATAGGCATGATATTCTCTCTCCCTCTCACAATGATAAACCTCTCTAATTATTCAAAAAAAAAATCTGATAATAATTTATAATTATTTAAAAAAAAAAAGCTGCAGACGTCTTAACTCTTTAGATCATATAAATTAGTAGCAATACGGTAAAGAGCTAGGTAATTAATTTGAAATTTGAAACTTTTTTTGTAATAATTTCGTATAATATATACACATTCCCATACCCTTCCGTTCCTCGATTTCTACCACGGACCAAATAAAAATCGTTCACACCAAGGAAAGCTTTTGGTGGCTTCAGTCACCAGTCCCACTCTCGTCGCCGCTGCGGTGGTCTCCTGCTTGACCTCCTAATGCGCAAGACTCCATTTCCAATCTATATCCACCGGTCGATCTCCGGCGAAGACATCGATTTCTCGACGGAAGTGTCGAGCTTGCTTATCACCGACAAAGAAAACCCCTCTCAAGTGTGGTTTCAGTTCCCAAGGCTCCCCTGCGGCTCTGTATCTCTCGTGATCGCTGCCTCCCGCGAAGGAGATGAGGAGTTTAGCTCCGGTTGTCAGATGTCTCCTTTTGGTGACCACCTTACATGGTGAATTCAAATTCTTTCCTTTCTTGTTTTAACCGGCAATCTTGCTACTTTCATTTCGCCTTTCCGGGTCAAATTAAGCTTTGTTCAGCGGGGTTTCTCGAAAATTTTGAGTGGATATCGGACTAGGAAGTTTTTTTGGGTTTAGATTGATGCCATGAGCTCTGCTGAGTAATTCTTCTGTCAATCGATTACTTACTTTATGCTTTGTGCGTCTTGTTCTGGACTCTTGATTCTGGTGGGGTTATCCAGCACATATTTCTTAATTAGATGTTCCTACAGTAACTTTGTGTTCTTTTTTATACTTGTCTCTAAGAAATTTTGTCTTTTTTAAGGAAAATTGATCATGTCCTATGATGCTTAGGAGACTTAATGATATTTCTATGTTGTTGGTTTTTTTCATTATTCCTATCCATTTTCCACTTTTTCTTGTCTTTGTTCTGATTGTTGATTCAGCAATTTGTATGTATTTCAGTTTGTTGTACTTGGTTTCTGTTATTCTTTCATACCATTCTCATTAATTTGTTTTGTTTTCTTTCATATCATAATCAGGTTTTATACAATATTTTCTCTTTAAGTAATCACGGGAAATTTTAAAACTTAAATTGGCCGAAGAAGATATTTGTCTGCTTTGTCTCTCTAAGACCTTTTGGTGTTATTTGTCTCGCTCTACTCCAATTTTGTGCTTCTATGGTTTTATCATAGGACTTAGGTTTTGTTTGAGGGCAAATTATTGCATCTGGTCACCGGACAGGGAGATAGGTTCGGATATTAATAAAATATTATTTTAAATTAAGCGCAGGAAAAGCGCAAGTCAAAAGCGCAGGTGACGTGGCAAGTTTTTATTGGATGTCCAAAACTATCCTCCGTGTCCAGTTACCGGATGCAATATTGCCTTGTTTGAGATTACTTTCTTATTGCTTCTTAAAATAGCTTTTTAGTAAAAAAATTAAAAATTTTGTACTAGAAGCTGCTTTAAGAGAGTAAGAAAGCTGCCCAAAAGGAAGCCTTAGTCATTGTCGCATTGATCAACAAAAGATAAAATCTTTACCTCTTTATTTAAATTTCGCTGTGGTTTTTTAGCCTTTTTCCTATTGTTTGTAGGCATCTGGACAGTTAGGGCATTTACTGGAACTTATGGTGTAAATTATGGTAGGATAGCTGATAATATTCCTGCACCTGAAAAAGTAGTTTCGCTTCTTAAAGCAGTAAAGATCAAGAATGTTAAGATTTATGATTCTGATCATGATGTGCTAACAGCATTTAAGGGTTCTGGGCTTGAGTTAGTTGTCGGGCTCAGTAATGACCATGTAAAAGAAGTAAATGCAAGTGAAGACCGGGCCATGGAATGGGTCAAGGAAAATGTGCAGTCATGGTTACCTGATACACATATCAGAGGAATTGCAGTCGGTAATGAAGTGCTTGGAGGAGGAGATCAGGATCTGGAAGCAGCATTGTTTGGTGCAATAAAGAATGTGTATAAGGCTCTATCTCGGCTTCAGCTCGCTGATCTTATTCAAATCTCCTCACCACACTCACAGGCTGTTTTTGCTAACTCATATCCTCCATCAAATTGCACATTTAATGATAGTATATTCCAGTATATGAAGCCTATCCTGGATTTCTTTTCAAAGATCGGCTCTCCTTTCTCTCTCAATATATATCCATTCATAGCATACAAAAGTGATCCTCAGCATATTGACCTTAACTATGCTTTGTTCCAGCCGAACCACGGAATACTCGACCCTATAACTAATCTGCACTATGACAACATGTTTGATGCTGAGATAGATGCAGCTTATGCTGCTTTGGATGCCGCTGGCTATGGTAAGATGGTAGTTGAGGTTACTGAGACAGGTTGGGCTTCTAGTGGCGACGAAGATGAAACAGGAGCTTCAACACAGAATGCTCGAACATACAATTATAATCTACGCAAAAGGCTCTTTAAGAGAAAAGGAACACCACGTAGACCGAAAATTGTCATCAAAGCATATATGTTTGCCTTGTTTAATGAGGATTCAAAGCCAGGACCAAGTTCTGAGAAGCATTATGGACTATTCAAGGCTGATGGGAGTATTTCATATGATATTGGACTTTCTGGTCTTTCAACTTGGCATGCATCGTCCTCATCCCACTCTCTAAAGGTAACAGTGGTATTCCAGTTTCTATCTTTGAGGTCTTGACTCCTAATTTTAGATAATAGAATAGAAGTATTTCGTCACGAATGGAATTAATATCTTCTGTATCATTAGTTATTAAATTAGATAATATGTCATATACAGACTTTAAAAACTGCACAAATGTCATAAATTACTAGTTTGTAATTAGAATCACTAATTTTCGGTAGGATACATTAATTAAGAGTTGCAGATGGGGAATCAAATCATTAATTCAGCATTGTCGCATTTCATGCACACAAATCCTTTAGTATCTATTAGAAACTTCTAGTTATTAGAAACTGCTAGTTTCTTTCTAATTGTGTCTAACTGGTACCATCTTCCTCTAGATTCCTCAACATAGTATGCATAGATAAGATGGTTTAACAACTTAGCATAGCATAACATGCATAGATCTTGATTACTAACTTCTTATTTGATCGCATCAAGGGAATAATTCAACGTGGTTATCCAAATTCGACAGTTATTATACATGCTATTATATAGGACATTATTATTATGCTGCTATTGCGAGAGGTTTTGAATGCTGCTACCTGTGGTTTGTTGTTCTGTTGGTTTCGAGTGCGGCTACTCATAGTTTGTTTTATGGGCCTTTCCTTGCAATTATAGCCTTTATTCACAGGAAAAGGACTTCATGTGGCTATTTAATTTCTAATTTTTGTCAAACTTAAAATATGAACATGATTGTTTTTTTGGAATCAATTTGGGTTTATTTCATGCTAGTTATATCTAGCAACTTAAAAAGTCTATAAATTGAGGTTATGAGGCATGTAAATTATTAACATTAGCTTGAATAAAACCTCTTTCTAATTTCAATCTTGGGAGTGCAAGTTGGACATGTGGCTTTTTCAAATGCGATATAAGTGTAACTATCAAATTTTTGGGGAGATAATCTCCTTATTTTGGACAAAATCAATTGGTTGACTTGTTGAGGAAGAAAAATCAATTGTGTTGTGATTAATTTGATTAAAACAAGAATTGATAATTTGAAAGTCAATCAAGTCCATGCACGTGATTGAAAACGAATTCCAACCACAATAATGAACCAATTTGTTTGAATGTTAATTATTGTAGAAGATAAGTGATTCATCTTGATAAAAAAAGAATATGTAACAATGATGTTTATTGAAACCGTAGATGTCAAAAAATTTATGTAGATGGCATAGTCATATAAGTTTGAGTTGATGTACCTGCCTGTGATGGTCAAAGTGATCCTAGAGCACTTGTTGACTTGTTATTATATCTAGATAACTTATTTGAATGTCAATTTATGTTTGATGAATGACAAGTAGGATTCACAAAAATAAAATTTATTGAGCTAGGTCAACTTTATTGGATGAAAATGAAAAAAATTGGGAAAGGATGGGAAGGGAATCTACTACATCTTAGATTGAAATGAAACAAATTTAAAAAAAAAATGTTTGGTTTTATCATATAATAACTATTTTCTTGATAAATTTAATTTATTGAAGCAATGAACTAAAACAACTATGACATACATGAGCAATTTGAAGAATTATTGATGTGTTCTAAGATCATTGAAGAAGCTGAAACTACACTCTAGCTCTAGGTATGGTATGGTATCTTAAACATAAGAGAGATGATAGATCACCATATTCAATCACTCAAGCATGTTTTTCAACTTTACTATGAATAAATGCCAAATTTGCCATGTCTAAGAAGTTTATTAATTAGTTTGACTGTAAAATCAATCAATTTTAATATGTTGCATCTACCACATCTAAGGGTAGTAATACTATAGTTAATAAAGATCATAAAGGGAGATAGATCTACCACATTTGCATTTGGGTTATATATTTCTTCTAAGACATGTTTTAAGTACCAGAACTCAGAATGAGGGCGAAATCTCTGGGTAGTGTCTTATCTACAAACCCATCTGCCTTCCAAAATTTACCCTGGAACTTAGTTCGTTAAAACTCCCTCGCCGAATAAAAATGAAATCGCGCGGCGGGGAGGACGGGGCCGAATTTTCGGAGCCCACAGACACATCAATTATTAAAAATATAGAATATGGATACGAGTTGGACATGATATTATAATTTTTATAACTTAAAAATAGTGTATAAAATTTGTAAAAAAATAATATTAAGAATAATTGATAGATAATAAGATAGTTAATTAAGATTTGTGCTTAAAATGATTAATTTTAGGATGTTGAGTGTCGCACGTTGATGTCATGTGTCAGACATTGAGAGTTAGACGACAATGTTGTTGAGAGTCGGGCATCAAAGATGTCCAATGGGCATCCGACATCAATGTTGAGACAATGTTAATTGTTAATGTTGAGATGATGTTGGTCAAAGATGAGATGTCAAGACTCTGCGGAGGCATGATTATAGGTATATAAATTGTTGGCATCGAGCTACGATGTTGGGATGATTTTGAAAAGTTGATTTTAGGATGGTATTAAATGTCGATGTTATGATGATATCAAATATTATTGTGAAACCCTATCTATGACCCGCCAGAGAGAAATGACAATGAGAATATTTGTTGAATGGGGTATCGAGTGCTATCAATTGATTTATGGAGAGGAAATAAGAAATTTCATTTTTATTGTTTCAATTAATAAAATTTTGAAATACAAGAAATTATATTTAATTTTTTTTAATAAAACATTTGAATTGCGTGTTAGACACGTATGCCCAATTTTTTTAATCGAACAAATCTTTGACATGTTGGATGATTATCTTGCCTAACATTGCATACCTATTTGAGGTGAAGTGTCGGAGCATCATAATTGTTATTAGATTCATCATTATACTTGTGAGTATCCTAGTAAAGTGCTTGCATATAAATGTGAATGAGGAAGATGATGAAATTAAGGATTTTGATGAAGATGCTTGTGATTTTTCAAACTTATTTAAAGTATGGGGAGAAGTTTTTTCAAGCTTATAATTGATAGTGAGAATTGTGTAAATTTGCCTTAAACAACATGAATTTTCAAACTTGAACCACAACTACGTATATTAAGGTATCTTTGGTAGATTAAACTACTATATATTTGTGTGTTAGAGACATCCAATTTCAATTTAATTAGCTTCCTATATTGCTAGAATTTCACGTGATGTGTTGCGCATGGATGTTGCTTTATTATTTTGGATAGACCTTAGTTGTACCTTAATAATTTTTGGGAGTTGTAATTCATATGCTTTCAGGACTTATGAGGCATGGGTAGTTTTTAAACCTATAAAGCCTTAGGGTAAGTCTGAATTTGCAAAACAATTGATTGGTCCCAATGAAGCCAAGAAAATTTTTTATATTCTAAGTAAACATACATTTGAGAAAAAGGGTGGGCAAGGAGGAGCGATCTAGATTTTAGTAACTATTGTATTAAATAATATAGTGTTTTATGTTGTGACTTTGATAAATTGTTGATTGGTTTTAAAGCATTTGTCTTGATGAACTTTTTAACGAGTGGCCGCCATTGAGGATGCACAACATGCTATTGATTTAGTCCTTGAATCATCCTTACCTAGTTAACTAGTTATAGTATGAATCCAACATAATATGTTGAAATGAAATGATGGGTTGATGGCTTACTTAGAAATGGATTTATTAGGGAAAGGGGATAATGATAGTAAACACTTGAAAAACTCAAGTGGAACCTATCAATTTTAAGATTCCAGCAATATTTCTCCACAAAAACCCCAACCAAACCAGGAAAAACAGCAATATTATTGTGATAATCAAAGAAAAACGGAAAGAAAATACCAAGATACAATAGATCCTCGATTTGAGAGGAGGATCGATTTCTCCGAACTCTCTAGACACTGTTAGAGCCTAAGACACCAAGCACCAACCCAAATTTAATAAACAAACATAATGTCCTAACCCTAATACAAACTTCTACTTAAAACAAACATCAAAATAACACTAAAGGACTAAACATCCCTCATTCTATCTCCCTTAGGTAGTGGACCCTATCCTAAGGGGGGTGGGATTTGGAGCCTGCGGAATAGCAGGCTTCCGCTTGCTGTATTGCTTGAGCCGGTCCAAGTGGAGGACCAGTCTATGCCTATCAGATAATTCCTTGAATTGCACCTATTTTGGTTACACCTAAGAAAAGTTGGAGCTAGTAAATGTGTGTAGACTATAACACTATCAATAAAATCACCATCAAATATATATTTCATGTATCTCAATTACATGATATATTAGAGATGATGAATGCCCATGTGATATTTTTTAAGGGTAATTGAGAAATGGATATAATCATGTTGGGGTGAGGGAAGGTGATGAATGGAAAACTATATTTAAAATCAAATATGGATTATATGAATGCTTTGTGATGCCATATGGATTAATCATTATAAATAGCACTTTTGTGTGAAAAATGGATTATGTTTTGTGATATTTTAATTTGATGATATTTAATCTATAACAAGACATGGAATGATCATTTGATATATTCTATAAAGACATTTGAGGCTTAACAAGCAAAAAAGTTATATCTGAATATGAAGAAGTGTTGTTTTGTGACTTCATTTATAATCTTCTTAGGATTTATTGTATTTGGGGATGAATTAGTTGTTTATTATGATAAGGTTTAAATGATTAATGATCGACTAAAACTTCCTCATATTATGATATTTAATGTGCATGGTATGACTATTTTTTAGAGGCGATTATCAAAGTGTTTGTTACCATTGTCACTAATTATAAATTAGAAAAAAAGATAAAAATGGTCCCTTGACTCTTTATGAAATATCAAAATAAATCTTAACTATATTAAATGATACATTTGGGTCATTCAATTCCTTAAACATATATATTTAAACTATGGTAGAGAATTTCTATATTATTATGCAAATTCTTCGTTATTGGTGGCATTTTCGGTTACTTAAAAGAACTTGTGCTATACTCTAATCTTCAAAATTTGAATTATTTGAATTTGTATAAGAAAATGGGGTATAAAATGCTAAGGTGGGTAGAGTTCCTAAAAA